CTTCCTGGAGAGGTCTCTAAACACTGTCTGTGACCAGTTTTTAACATCTGGTTCATCAAAGAGTCCCTGCAGAGCCCTGTTCCTCCCGTTGTCTGTGTCCCTCTAGAATGCTCCTACTGCTGTCTCCTTCTCATCTGGCCTCTCACCATTGTTCAGTGCTGTGCAATGGAAAAAGCAAGCCTTAAATGTAGATAGAGGTAAAAAAGTAAGCCTTAAAGGGAAAAAGTAAGCCTTAAATACAGATAGAGGTAAAAAGCAAGCCTTAAATACAAATGGAGGTAAAAAGCAATCCTTAAATACAGATGGAGGTAAAAAGCAATCCTTAAATACAGATGGAGGTACAAAGAAAGCCTTAAATGCAGATAAAGTTAAAAAGCAAGGCTTGCATGTAGATAGAGGTAAAAAGCAAGCCTTAAATACATATAGAGGTAAAAAGGAAGCCTTAAATACAGGTAGAGGTTTTGTTTCTTTTCCTAAAAAGGAGGACAAGATGCATCCCTCCACCTAGGACTTGAACACTACATGAAATGTGCTTTTTTCCAGACCCAGTGTAGAGCTCACCCAATACCCTGGACTTGGAGGGATTTTGTTTTCAGAGGTGTCCTGTGTTGCACTTGTGTGACCCTGGATCCATCCTGGATTCTGGAGCTGCAGATTCACAAGTACTTCTTCAACCTTTGTTCCCAATCCATGATAGTTTATGGCAGTGTTAATGATTTACCACATTTCCCCTCTTGTGGACAGCTTTAGTAGCAGGGGAGAAGTAAGGCAGGTTGAACACAATCATGTTGTAGAAGGACATGCATAAGGAAATGTGTTTTTAATGTCTTGTAAGACAATAAAAATTTTCTCATTGGGAACCAGTAAGTTTGAGAAAGGACCAAACCAAATAGGACCTTTAAAATAATCAATTACTTAATATTTTCTTTTTAAAACACTTCCAATGTTTCTTTTTTTTTTCCCCCTGCATTTTTGACCACAAGAAGGAATGCATGCTGGTTATTAAAGTGGCACTGTGCAATCAATGATCTCAAGCCTTGAGACAAAGAACTTTATCCAGTTTTTTTGGTGGTGTGATGATTGTCCTGGGAGGGATGGCTGTGTTGGGAAACTTCCCTGCTCCTGGCATCAGCTTTTGGCACTGCCACAAATACTGCTGGAGGATGATGTGAAGATAAAACAGCAGGAGAGCCTTAGGGCTGTGAAAGAACCTGCTGCTCAATATTCAGATCCTTTTGAAAAATTTGTTGTGCAGCATCTGCATCAGTTGGAATTGAAGATGTCATCCCCAGAACAAGACAGACACAGCATTCCTTGAGCCCAACAACACTGCCCCAGAAATGGGGGCTCCTCTGGCCCTGCCTCTTCATTCAATGAAAATCAATCCAGGCACAATCAGAAGGATGTGTTTCCCTAGTCACTGCTTTTTATTTCCTTATCAGAAAACTGTTAAGTATGAAGAATACAAAAAAATTGTCATGTCATATAGCAATGAACACAGACACAGATTTTTACCAGGTTTTATAATGAAAATGTGAAGTATTCAGAGACCTGGAAAGAGAACAAACAGTCACACACATGGATTAAATTCCCTCTTCTCTGTCTCCTCAGTACCAGTCACTCTCAGGGCTCAATCCCACTGAAATTCAGTGTTCTCCAGTCATTGCCAAAGTAGAAGGAGAATCTGCACTCTGGATTTGCCCACTCACGATTTCCTCTCTGCTTTCTTTGCTCATTGCTTTCTATCAGTGCTGACACAGCCCTGTTTTTCCCAACAGAAGAACCTCCAAGATTGTAAACATGGGGAAACATTTCATATTGATTCTGCCTGCTGCTAGGCAAGGCCCTCTTCTTCCACTGGATTAAACAGCTAAACATTTCTTTTCCTGTGAACTGAAGCTTCTTCTCTGGGAAAGCTCACTGGCACTGACTTGTTAATAGGAGCAGACCATTTCAGTGTCTTTGCAAGTTTGCTGTACCTCTGCACCTTCCAGAGTCACTTCTGCCAATTGTGGAGTCCTGGTTTTGCCAAGAAAATAGCAGATCCTGTGTTTTCAGTTTATAACTGCAAGCTTGGAAGGACTGACAAAGATCTTATTTTCTCTACAAACCGTGTTTCATTTTTTTCTGCAGAGGAATTAATTCAGCTCACATTTCAGGAGCTGGAGAGAACCACCAAGTTCATGCTGCGCCCTGTACTGAAGGTGATTTTTTGGTGGATTCTCTCTTAGTTAATGAGACTTCTGGGCATTACAGTAATAAAAGAGCAAAAATGAAGTGGAGGGTTTGTCCTTAAAGCCTAGTGACAGTCACCACTGAGCACTGGCTCTGCTCTAGGGCTGCCTGCCCCTTCTTTCCACGGTAGTTCAGGCGGTTGAACTCCTCCTTGACCTGCAGCATGGTCTTTCCTTTGGTCTCTGGCAGCACCAGGAGCACAAAAATAGCCATGGACAGACAGTAGGTCAGGAAAATGATGAAACAGAAATTGCCAAGACCTTGCTATAGGAAAACAAAGAGAAAAAAATGTGCAAAATGAGAAAAAATGAGAAAAAAATTATCTTGATTTCTTTCTCTTACGATATAGAGTTTCTGGGTTTGTATTTACTAAAAGAAGTTGGTCAGAGACTTAATTGATATAAATTAAATTAAACCCTGCTTCAAATGACATCTGACAGTGTCAGTGCCTCTGTCACAGCATCAGTGCTGCCTGTGTCACTCTAACCTGTGTAGAGTTAGCAGTATTTTGTGGGTTTCCTACACTTCCAGTAAATACCTGGTGAAAATGGAAGAGGCCATCAGAACTGTGATTAATTCAATTAATTTGGGCTCTGTTGCATGAAGTGCTGACAAGAGATGCCTCCTCTGGGTTCAAGGGGGGTCTAAATTCCTTGGAACTGAAACAAACACCCTGCTTTGCTTACCACAAGGAAAGGGAACACAAGCCCAAGGATGAAGAGCTGGATCCAGTTTACAACACCATTAAATACATAAGCAGCTGGTCTGTAGGACTGAATAAATATTTCTGTGATCAAGGGGCATACGACTCCACCTGAAAAAGACATTGAAGAAAGAAGGAAGCTTAGAAATTTTGCAAGATGCTTTCTTACCTCATACTTCATTTTGCTGCATGAGTCCATGGCTTTGAGTGGCCTGGAAGTGTCTGAAGTGGTGCTTGCTCTTCAGTGAAAAGGCATGTAGGAATGTAATAGAAAATTAATTTTTACTTCTGCCATAGTAGGGAGGGAAATACCAACACCTGCCCTGGGTCAGAAGTAGGGATTCATGCCTGTGGTGGAACAGCTGTGCTGGGATCTCTCCTGAAAGCTGCAGTGAGGAAGGAATGAGTGAATAAATGAAAACATTCCAGTAGAAAATACCAACCTGGCCCAATGCCAAAGCTCATGATGAAAATAAAGACAAGTGCAACAGAGCAGTATGGTACCCAGAAAAAGGAGTCCTGTGGTAGGAAATGAAAAGCAAATAAAATCAGAAAATAAAATTTTATTTACCTAGCTCAATTACAAATGCTCATCACTACTAAGTAATGTCAATATTTAACATAGATCTATTTCCTCTGCTTTCAGAAATGTCATGAAATAGCCATGGCAGTGATCTTGGTTGTGTAAAGCTACTGTCTTCAATCCAGCTGTACATGGCTGGGAGCAGACCTCTGAATATGATGGTTAGCCCCAAAAATCATCTACTCACTAAAAAGT